CAAAATATATGTCGCGGTCCCTGACATGTGCATAAAAAGTCCACGCTACGCGCCTGACTAATGGGAATCTAAATTCAAAGACTCGCTGATGTGTGATTGAAATTGACCAAGATATGAATTTTTTTTTTCAATTTGGTCACATAATTTCAATTTGGTCACATAAATTGAGGATGTAGTTTTCACATAAATTGAAGATGTAGAAGCTGAAAAACATATTGATGATTTATTAGACATAACAARCACAAGTAATATCAAAGTCGTTTTTGACCATAAAAACGTTACGTAAGCCTTTTTGGACCTTGAAAACCTTTACTTTGCCAGGAACAAAGCAAGCTCCTCCTGAAAGTTTTTGTCTTTACACTTAGATCCAGATGAGTAGGCCAGCTCTTGCATCTGGGTTTGTCTTTAGTGAATTTTGCATTGGTACAGTTGACTCAACTCGCTTGTGCGACCCTTGTGCTTGTTTAATAACTAAGGTTAATAGTTGGGGGAGGGGGGCTTCGACGTGCATTCACCTTGTCAGGGCCGGGCGATTTATTTAATGGTAGAGACAGTGCAATATTGCGTACTTCTTCAATAGATACGGTCTTGAGATTGAAAAGACCGAAATCGGGAGAGTTGGTGGTGGTATTCTCAGGGACCGCAATGTTGTTCTTTTCGGCTAAATTCAAAGAGTCTTCAGCCGCTGTTTTACCAACAGTTGAGAAATAAAGGTTAAATTCATCGGCGACGGCTTTCAGATCTTTTGTAAATACTTGTCTCTCTTTAGATTTAATAGGTATCGCACGATTGATGATTTTCCATAGAGAACTTGGGTTGTTCTTGTGTTGTCTTACTTCTTTACGGGGGTTCTAACTAATTTTCTGCTTAAGAAATCTGGTTTTACGGGCCCCCCTCCTGATAATTATTGCACAGTCAGCAGCATAGTGTTGCGCATGCTACTCGTTTTCTTGATAAAAGTATAACAGGTGTTTAAACAGCAGAAAAAAACGTTTATACTGATATATACCTAAAATGTTACGTCGTCCAAAAGGGGGGGGGGGGGGGGGTGCGTCCGCACCCAAAGCACCTCCCCTGGATCCGCCCCTGATCTGTTGTTTGTTTTTGTTTTTGTTGTTTTGTTTGTTTGTTGTTGTTTTTTAATTCATAGGACTTTTCTAAAACAGCTTCATGAATTGTGGTCTAGATTAGGTAAAAACATTTTAKTAGTGACTCGGAACAACGTCGAAGCAACCGTGCTATTTTTTAATTTATTGTACCCACAAATGAGAGTAGAGCGGATTTCGTATGAGTGGGAAACGGACGGTACTGTACGGTGACCGTAATCGTACTGCAACCAAATTCTAGTGCCCCATTGGTTCACTAAAATTGTGCAGGCCAGGTCCGGTAACTGTGCGGTAACCGTGCGGTAACGGTGTCCCACTCATACGAAATCCGCTCTAATGTAAAGAGAATTGTGAAGTTAATGTGAATGGTTCATAATGCAGGCGTTCCTTAATTGAATTATTAAGATGTTGCAAGACCTGATCGTATCAGTGGTGCTGATATAAATGCTATTTGTCAAGAGGTTAGACAGTACTTAATTAAGGGCATTTTTTCGTTAGATCTGAACAATTCTGGATTCTTGATTCATGTTGAGGTTTTGTCACTTCAAGTATATATACTTCACTTATAGTAAGAGCGGGAAAATTCATAAAAGTTCTAAGTTCTCCTGAGATTGCCGGTAGCTATAATAATCCACACAGCAAATAATAGCGAAATTTATTGRATATTTATGCTGTAAATAGACTCGCATACATTCTCATATCAAGTAATGCAGGAGCTTGGGCTACCCGTGCTTTTGTACATCTTTTGTATGTATTTTGAGGTTGAATCAGTCACGAACATGCATAACTTTTTACGTGGGCTTCCTGTGGAAGTCCACGTCTAAAAATGCAACTGGCTTTTGGTTGTGGTGGTGAATATKACGCTTCAAATTGGTAGCGCCTGCGTTGCAGATGGTCTGCAGTCTTAGAATGAAAACAAAATGGCGGACAGACGGCGGCAAAAAGTTGTCTCGTTAGCTGGACTAGCCGAAGGCTAGGTCGACCTAAGTTTTACCTTTTAGCCAATCTATCTGTCTATCTGTCTATCTATTATGTCGCGTTTGTATCACCGGAAGTTAACAATTTAATGATTAACTATTGGGCTGGCTGTGTTATTACATGACCGTAAGCTCAAACTTATAGATGTACGAATATATCGTTAGTAAATGATTCTACTTGCACTTTTATGTGATAAAAAAACTATTCGTTTAGAAATGTGGTATCTSTGATCTCATCGGAATGCATCAGTCTAGGCATCAGAAGTACGCGCATGTGCGGATCGCATGGAGCTTCCAGTAGTATGCTTACGGAACTGAATTCTAGCTCTAGACAGTCTTGATTGGGCAAAGATTTCAAATTAGAACAAGAAAAACTTTGTTTATCAATAACAAAAAGGCGACTTTGAYTATTTTATWGGCATCTTTTSAAAAGYATTYATTTTCTTGGCCTGAGAGGTCAACAATTTGAATTAAAAAAAACGTATTAGATATGATATCACAACAATTCTTAACTAAATAGGCAATCCCATTTGAACCAGTAGCTCATAAGCTCTATAGTAATAGCTTTTCTCATTCAAATTGAACCGCTCTTTCATTTGACAACAAATTCTCTTGCGCTTAGACCTTACAAAAACCTCCTTCCCGATTTGAGGCTAACCCTCTACATGTATTACCAGAAGCTTTGAAGCTTTCGTGCTCTCCTTTGTGTTGGTAAGGTCTTTGCGCAAGAGAATCTTTTGTTAGATAAAGACCGTTTATTTCGCTTTGAATTCGATACTGTTTCTCTATTTCTAGGCTGGCATGCAAGCAGTAAGGGAAAACAGATACATCATCTTGGCCAAAGACTTTGAGAAAGGCTACAAGAACAATGTTAAAAAGGATGAACAAGAGCACGAGTTTTACAAATAAACATRCTATTTCAGATGTGCTGAAGCTAGTGCACTCCAAGAACGTAGTGCATTGCTGGTTTTTACATCACCATTTCAAAGGAGTTTTCGTGGTTTTAGAGTGACGAAACCAGCTCGCTTAGTATTTACTGGTGATTATCAGTTGTATTTAGAATAATCTTCATGATATAAAGTAAAAGAAATACATTAACAACAAACAAGTATGTTCTTTAAATATATTAAATTTGAAGCTAGGAGGATTTCGAAGGATTCGTAGTCTAGGATTCATAGCATTAAAGGCAAAAGCTATGGCCAGTCGAGTTAGTATGTTGTGCAACTTAGAAGACGTCTGGTTGTGACAAACAGCTCTCTTGTGTTCTTTAATTTTAGTCCGCAGGGACCTATCCGTTTGACTTTAGTATTTTCCTGGCAAAAATTCTTAGGAAGTATTTCTTACCTGGAGAGTTCTTTTTTCCTGAATTTCTTGGTGGCAACCAGTTATGACTTACAGCTGACTGGAAAAAAAATTTATAATATTAAAAAGACACGTTACGTTCGAGCTTTTTTCTTTTTTTCATTCCATAAAGTTTGTTGATTGAAACAAAAATACATCAAAGAGACGCGTTAAAAATTATCTTAATGACATATTTTAAATTTGAAAGTGAAATCTAATGATATTTTTTCATGAAAAAGTATTATTTTGTTTAATGTTCTTTCTTTTTTTTCTTTCTTCCTTTCTGCCTTTTTTCTGAAATATAGGTGTTCTAGTCATGCATGTTAGATTTTTATCGTAGAGTGTACGCCACGTAGGTGTGAAACAATTCTTAACTAATTAGCGCCTAATTAGCAATTAGACCTCGAGGTCGAGTGGACTACGAGCTAATAGCCCATGAGGCCGAGTCCGCGAGGCCGAATGGGCTATTAGCTCGTAGTCCACGAGGSCGAGAGGTCTAATTGTTTTAGTATAACATACTAATCGGTCAAATAATGAAAACAAATTGAAATATCACTTAGGCGGGTTACTTTACATAGTTTTCGAAGTGGCGCCGCAGTCTCGCACTGGTGCTGCATTACATGAGATAATGGATAACATAGGATGGAGGAGTAGTAAAACTGCCCTCCATTATATAAAACTTAGGCAAGTTTTGAATCGAGCTGAGGCAGCAGCAAGACTGCCGGATTTAGACCCGACAAGTGGCAACGAATATAGAAAGCTCAATGACTTAGCTGGTTTTTCTCAGGCTTTCCAGGAGTAATAATGAAGTGTAACAATCAGTCAATATAATAATAAAATTATTCATAGTCATTTGAATATGATAATTTGGTCCCAGGGGATTGATAATAGGATATATAAAG